TCAACTAAAATAGGACTTCGAATGAGAAACTGGAATAAAAAGCAATAAAAAAATTGAATTCGACATATTATTATGTGATGTTTGATGCACCAATTGTGTTATAAACCGCGTGCAGTTGTAGTAAAGAACTAGATTTTTGTAATCATATGTAAAATGCAAAGGGGTTTTTTGTACTCCATTCAATCGTAGCGACTAAATAATGCGTCTACTAAAGCTGCGTATAAATGAAGTTGATGGTAGGTGTTAATAAGAAATAGCGCTTTAAAACTAATAAATCATGCTCCACTGACTCGATTGAAGTAAAATCTTCAGGTAATTCATTCGTGTTATAATGTTGTAATACAACCACATTAACAATTATTCGAATCGTTCAGAATAATAGTGACCTCCGGAGATTATTGGTTGCGATTTTTTGTGAATTTGTGTTTGGGAGTTAGAACATTGTTAGATGTCGTACAATGTTCACAGTGTAAACTTCACACATTGTTCTATCACCAGAAATCTCAAATTGAACGCAAAATCACAAAATCAATAAAGGTTACTTTTATTTGGAGCTTTTCATTTCTTCAATAAGAAAAAATCAGTTGAATTCATACGCGCACCTTGCAGGGTGCATAAATATGTAATAAATATACGTTTTTTCATTCGATATTTAGGTGATAGCGAGGGAAGCAATTTGTTTTTTTATTGAATGGTTGCAAGCTAATTGCACTTTAAGCCACCAAATAATTGCACAAATACCCGCGAATTGTACTGATAACGCGATCTTTTACTGTTAATTCTATTTCAATTGATTGAAAACTTAGATAAATCCCTGTCTTTGCAATAGTTTCAACACTTTACCCATTTCAATGTATAGAATTTTTTCAAGGAAAATTGAAAACAGTAGTTTTTACGTTTGAATTTAAATTTGACAAACATTTTGAATGTTTTTTTTGCAAAAATTATTTATTGTACATAATTGATTTTAAAATTGAATGGAACAGAAAAAAATTGACGAAAATTTTCTTATGCACAACGTTCTGCTTGACTTGCGGTTACAAAATAGAATGTCACCTCATGAATTGAATGACACAAACACTAAACCACATACAAACATCATTCATCGGGAACACTTGCAAACTTAATTTTGCACAATCGGTTGCATAATGAATGCGTTTATTGAAATTGGCAAGCAAACCTGGGTTTAAGTCGGTTTAAGTTGATTTACTTTCAATTTTAGGATGCGATACATTTCATTATCCCGAAATTAGGTGGTCGTTCGTACTTTTAGGCAAACGCTCAATTAAGCAGATTGTTAAAAAAGGGTTTTCTGCTCATTTCTGAAGTATTGTGTTAATTAATAACATGAAGTTATATAATAATCAGTGAAAAAAAATTAGTTTCAATATAAAAAAAATTGCGATGAACTTTCGTTGTTGAAACGAATAAACGTTTGAATTTTTCAAAACTACTAGTAAAAATAGACATAATTATTGAAATAGAAGCTACTTCTCTTCATCAAAGGGAAATTCTTCATTCAAAATATCCACTATATTCACAAATATTCAATAATCGAATTCACATGAAATTCACAATAATCACAACTTTTCGGAAGTGAATGAAACCGCTTGTCTTGAACAGAAACTTTTGGGGCATTTGAATTCTTTTCTTCACCGCTTGATATATCAAGTCTAATGAAAATCTTTTGAATGAAACGTAAGTGTTCAATAAACAATGTTTATTTATATTCGGTTTCGATTTTAAATTCGTATTAGGTTCAGGTTGTTGCCTTTTGTACGTCATTGCCGTATTGTGGTGTTATAGAACTACAAAAGTTTTTTATAGTGACATTAATAAAGAAATGATAGAGAGAGGTCCCTCAATTCAATTGTCAATATCGAATTTGTGTTCGGAAAGATGTTATTTTAGCAATTTTGGTGATTAAGTAAATTTGTTGAGCTCATTTTTAATATTTAATGGACGCGAAAAATCCATTTTCCATCGAACATGAATATTATCAATTTTTAGGAATAAAATTCTTTTTTTTGGAATCAAGTAATCGTTTAGTTGCGATGAAAATATTGATTTTGTTGCGTGTCACAGGCTGCGTTAAACAACGATCTTTTTAACGTCATATCTCCTTTGAAGACTTTTCGTAAATATTGTTAATCGCGAAAATGTTAAGTGTCGAAAAAACCGTAGGTAAGTACAAAGAACGGATTATTTTGAACGTCGATATACATATAGAATTCAATTCTTTCTTCTTTTTGCGTTGATGACGCTCACGAAATGTCTGCTACATATAGCGGTAAAAATGAATTTCAGTTAATCGAATCAGTACATGAAGAACTTAGTACATTTAATCTATCCGTATGAACTGCACATCTAAAGAAAATTGCTATAAATGAGGTTAGCTTTCAAAGAACCCGAAACGAATAGAACACACCACATTCATTTGTATATGATGCAAATGATTTTCACAAGATTTTCAGCCATATTCCCTTGGTTAATAATAGGCATTTGCGTGCGTTCGACTTGAACAGCAACAGATATCTAATTTCTTCACAACAACTCCATATAAGTAATTTGATATACTGTATGCACTAAAAGATATTTCTCATTGGTAGATTTCGCGGCAATAGCAGTACACAAAAACATGTGAGACAATCGACAATGACTAATTTTTCACACTATTTTGATCTTAACTTTGACTTCAAATCTTGATGTTACTTCGAAATAAGGTTGAGATCAAAATCAGACGATCACTCAATGGAAACAAAAAAAGGAAATCTGGGTAGCAAATAAACCTTTTTTCTTCTTGAAAAATTATCTATGCAAAGAGATACTTAAATGTTTGCCGTTTTTAGCGATTGTATCGTCATTTTTCCATCATAATAATGAATCGTTTGAATATATTAATTTTGAGTGAGCTTCATTTGTATAATTTTCAATTGGTTGGGAAAGATAGCACTTCTTTCTATAAAAGTGTAAAATACATGATAGTTTATGAAAGATCCCTATTTTTCCATTCTTTCATGATTTCACAAGCTGAAATGTGAGTAATGCTTGAATGATTCACATATCAGTGATTCAATAGTAAAATTCTTATTAAACTCATTTATTCACTTTATATGCCCAATCATCCAAAATTATTTTAATTCATATCAATCAATGTATGTATATTGAAGTGAAAACAAGCCATCTTTGCAAGCGAAACATTAGCTAATTGACATTTCATTGTTGTGTCACATGCACTGACTAAATTTTTTCGTATCTCAAAGTCTTTCGTTATTTTGCAGTTTAAATATCTAAAATAAAGAGAAGATATCGCCAAACAAAAATAAACATTGAATTTACGCAAAGCATCGGATAACAGTATTAAGGATAGAATATTCACATCACTGCTGACATCATACGCTCAAATTAAACATTTAAAAAAGAGCGAAAGACACAAAGAGCCTCTTTAAAAGAGGAAGGAACAAGTGAACTTTGTTCGTTTGAAAAAAAGAAGGTTTCTCGATACCAATTTCTTTTGCATCCGAAAATGCGTTACGATTTCTGGCCACAAGTATGACATTTTGATGAAACTTTCAATCAGAGAAAGCATTATATTGAAATAGACTTGAATCTATGGGCTCAATACAACGGAACGATAATATCATTTGATTGCTGTTGTTCACTACATTCCGGTTTGCACCATTAAACTGTAGTACATTGACCATCAGTATTATTATGTAATGATTGATAGATACTTTAAATCTGTCGCTGAACGCTTGCATCAAAACAAAACAAAACAAAAATTACTATTGCAACAAGAAGCAATAACCTTTTGAAATTTTATCGTATGTATACAATTTTTGAATAGTACCTCAAAATGCCATTAACAAATTGATCATATGCGAAGTAAAATCCTTCCAATGTTATGTAAAATTATCAGTTTCATTTGGTTTTTTCCGACTGCAATCAAATTTACCTATTATTTCCAATAGATCATTTGCACATACATGAAAAATAAAATTGCATTTGTATGTCCATTATTATATTATACGTCATAAGTGAGTCTTTGGTAGAAATGTTCCAAATGGTGACCATGACGTAATTTTATCGATATGGATATTAAAACGTTTGGGAGGTGTTTGAATTGAATTAAATTGAATAGAATTACAAGCGATACATGTTATTTGATTAACATTTACGTTACAGAACTTTACATTATTCTGGTTCAACTCTGCTTATATAACAATGACACAGTTCTTTCAATTATAATAATGAGGAGAAATTTCAATTCAAGAGAAAAAATATTTGACTGAAATTAGAATGAAATGAAAACTCTAACGAGTAGCACTTAGTTTCAGTATTTGTCGTAGATCATGGTGTCCTTTGTGAAATGACAGAACAGCAACTATCTATTAAATCCAATGGTTTGCATGCGTTGAAGTTATGGAAAGAAACTAACGAAACGATATCATCACAAATTGGAGAGTAAAAATAGTCCAAAACAAATGCTTCACTTTTGGCGAATCGATGAGGTTTTTGGCAAGTTTATACTAAATCCCTACACCATAGAATGGGTGTGATGGAATCTCATTTTCGTTCTCACTATTCACCACTAACACAAATTGCTATAGATTCACATTGACACACAATTGGAAATGGGTTGGTAATTTCATAGTTTTAATACAAAAACCAATTCACTATTAGATACTCCGTCCTTACCTCTTATAAACACACTCGTTCAATTCCTTAATATGACATTTTGCTGCTGAATGAGCACACAAATAAATTTCATCATAATTTTTTATAATATTTTATTACATCCGTTGAGTGGTTTTCTTTTAGATTTTTCGAAAACATAAATTGATTCTTCACCCTTCTATTGCATTTGTAATAGAATTCCACATTGATAAAACTTTGTTTTTGGATTCTAATTGAGAATTTTCGTTCGATATATATATATACATGTATTTTATCGAATTGTTTGCAAAATGATATTTAGCACATAACTAACACATAACTCACAATTTTGCTAAACATTTACCGTTTGTATTAGAACTTTACTAAGTATTTTTAAATCAAACTTCTTTCATATTTCTGGATGAATTGTCTCTTTGCCTTTTAAAACTATTTTTCTATTTCATTTTCTGTCGTGTGTGTCACGAAAATGAAAAAAATCACAAAGCAGCGAGGAAAATACATACACACACTTCGTTGTTCGACAGTTCTGGTTCTTTGATTTTATTTTTCTTCGTTTTGTCCATGTTAGAGTTCGCACAGAAGTTGGCTGCGTTTCGAAACCAATATTTTTGGTTCAAGGCAGGTGTCCAAAGTAAAACATAAACATGTGGTGAAAATTAAATGTCAAATTCGTTGGCGAAATCCATAAATAATTTTATTTTTAAGTAAGTTGCTAGGCAAATTGAATATATACAATTCAATTGATTCTCTTATAAAGAACACGTATAATTTTAATAAAATACGTCACACATCATACATGTAAGAACGGATTTACAAACTAATAACCATAACGAAAATTTCTGCATTTTCAACATATCAATTGATGTATTCACCACCCCATTGAAAAGCTTAAACAAATAAAAGAAAAGTAGTTTGGAAATGTCAAAAGAATTGAAACGTCACGTCAAATGTATATCAAAAATTATTTTTTTAGAAAATAATCAGCTGTGTACACTTGTAAATTATTGGGAGTGTTGGCAATTCGCATTTTTTTTAATCTTGAAATAATCGACTGACGATATGACGAAAATGTATTTGTTTCAGTTCGTAGCACTTGGTAGATAGTTATTACACCAGGTTGTTCTGTGTCACGTTCAGTGTCACAATTGAACAGGTTTTTTTGTTTCTTTCTTTATTGCCTTCGTTTTTTTTTTTTTTTTGATTTATTGATCTGCATGTTTTGGCTTGTTCATGGTAACCAAATCGCCGAATTGGTGCATCCCAAGGCTGAGTCAAAACAAAAACAAACAAAAAATTCAAACACAAAATAAGATAAACCCAATCGCATCCTAGCAATCCAAAAATGCGGACTTTTTGCACAAACGTATCAATGACGAGGTATATCCTTGTCAGCACAATTATTTGTAGTTGCTTTACTATCGCACAATCCATATTGCCTACGAATAATATGTCCAACAAGGAGAAAAGCGAACTCAAGTAATTAACCAATCATCATCGAAAGTAGATCTTAACCTTGAATTATTTGTAGTAAAAAGTGATTTTCCCCATTACAGAGAGGAAGCATTGGAAATGTTCTACCATGCATACAGATCGTATATGGACAATGCATATCCCGCAGATGAGTTAATGCCTCTTTCATGTCAAGGTCGATACCGAGGCGTTACACCGTCGAGAGGAGATATGGATGATGTTCTAGGAAAGTACGTAGAAAAACTTTGCTAAATAAATAAATACCCATTCGCATGGGTGACGTGGTATGACATTAAAAATACTACGTGTGTACACATACTTATCAAAAGCAAACAATTACAAAAATCAAAATATGTATTGTTCAATCTGTGCCTTGTATTTAAGCTTTAATGAGATTTGAACACTTTGAACAATTGACTGATATGTTAATTCGTTTCAGTTTTTCTATGACTTTAGTCGACACACTAGATACGTTAGTAATTATTGGTGACTACGATGAATTTGAGCACGCTGTAAAATTAGTCATAGACAATGTGAAATTCGATCACGATATCATTGTATCGGTTTTCGAAACGAATATTAGAATGGTTGGAGGACTGTTATCAGCACACGTATTATCAGAATATATTCGGAAAAATGAACAAGGGGAAGATGCTCACATGAAATGGTACCGTGGACAGTTACTTGAAATGGCCAAAGAATTGGGTTATCGATTGCTGCCTGCATTCAATACAACGACCGGAATTCCACATGCGAGAATAAATTTAAAACACGGTATGAAATCGGATGAATTAAAAAACTCTCGTGAAACATGTACGGCTTGCGCTGGAACCATGCTATTAGAATTTGCTGCATTGTCAAGATTGAGTGGTGAGCCGGTATTCGAGACGAAAGCACATGCTGCAATGGATGCCCTATGGAAGATCCGACACAGAGGCTCAGACTTAATGGGTAAATTGATTATTGAATGAATTATTAATTATTATTATGGCTTTAATAGATTGATTTTTTCTTTAATATAAAAATTGTAATATTACTTTAATAGGCACAGTAATGAATGTACATTCCGGAGATTGGGTTCGCCGAGATTCAGGCGTTGGCGCTGGCATCGATTCATACTACGAGTACTGCCTCAAGTCCTATGTTTTGCTAGGAGATGGACGCTATTTGGATCGTTTTAATAAACATTATGCTGCTGTAATGAAGTATATTTCGCATCCACCACTATTAATGGACGTTCATATGCACAGGCCACACACGAAAAGCCGTAATTACATGGACTCGTTACTTGCATTCTGGCCTGGTTTACAGGTTCTATTTGGTGATCTGAAGCCAGCTGTTCAAACGCATGAAATGCTGTACCAAGTAATGCAAATGCACACATTCCTCCCAGAAGCCTTCACATTCGATTTTCAGGTATAATCATATCAAATTAAATACGCCAATTCCGGATTTAATTGTTTTCCATCTTTCAGATCCACTGGGCACAACATCACCTTCGACCCGAATTTATTGAATCAACGTACTTCCTTTATAAAGCAACTGGTGATCACTACTACTTACAAGTGGCGAAAAAAGTTCTGAAAACTTTGCAAGAGCATGCAAGAGTTGCCTGCGGATTTGCTGCTGTAAGTACCATTGTTCGGATTTTTATTGTTATATTATTATCTAGATATATTAATCACAGGTAAATGATATACGAACCGGGAAAAATGAGGACCGCATGGATTCATTTGTCATGTACGTATGGAGAAAGATTTGGTGTCAAAATATCAATGTATTCCAACCGAAACCAATATTTCTACCGTTTTCTTTTCAGGTCCGAAACTTTAAAATATTTGTATTTGATATTCGCTGAACCGTCCGAAATAGATTTGGATTTAGATACATTCATATTCACTACCGAAGCCCATCTGCTTCCACTGTCGCTGGGTCAACTCGGTAATATAACAAGAACGAGTGGAGAAAGTAAGAAATGTTCGAATCACAATTGAAGATATCAGATTGGGAAAATGAAACAAGAAAATGATGTTGTTGTTGATTGTTTTAGGTGACGAAAATGGTGAACAAGTATTGACAATGAATTATCAAAAATCATGTCCCAGTCCGAAGCATTTATTCCCAGAGACCGTACGAAAACCATTGAAAGATTTGGTGTCAGGTGTATGCCCGCGTACTCCCAGCACAAAACGTATCAGTGCGATGGAATTCAGAGTATAAAATATTTGAACTTGTCTTATTAACTATATCGAAACCAATGCAAATTTTCTTTTTGAAAAAAAAGGCAAGCAATGCTGACCACCGTCGCTCTGTCAGCGATATGGGAATAACAATGATCTCAGTGGGCGATGGAAAAGTACAATTGATGCACAGTTTCTACAATGTAAGAACGTGATAAATCTATTATTTTGCTAGCGATAAATACTCACACAAACTCTATTTGTAGGCCAAAACACCAGAAGATGCTGAGAAGGGATTGCTTTTTATGAAAGAGATCGTTGAATTGTCCAAATCTCAAGTTGCCACATCAATAGCGGAGTTACAAGCTGTGTTCTTCAAAAAAGAATCAGGCGGTATAGAACTGTTTCCATTAATTGCCCACTATCAGTTCGTTATATTGCTATTAATTTCATTTCTTCTTTCTGATTCTCCCCTTAGGTATAGAACTGTTAATGGCCGGTCCGTCACACTTTTCAAAAGAACTGACGGGCAATGAATCGATACAACGGAAAGTTGTTCTTGCCGAACCATTCAGATTGTGTTCTCCACTGAAAACACGAATTGAAACGGTCAAAGATCGAATCCTAGTTGTGGAACGTGGCGATTGTACGTAAATATTTGATGCAAAATATCAATATATTCTAACTGATATTTTTACCTTTTTCTTTAGGTACGTTCATCGACAAAGCCCGAAAGAGCCAAGAAGCTGGCGCAGCTGCCATAATTGTATGTTTCGAATTATCATATAGTTAAGGAAACATTTTATCAATAATATCAATTTAAATGGAATTTCTGTCTTACGCAGGTGGTGGATAATATACCTGGTTCTAATGCAGATCAACCAATGTTTGCAATGTCGGGAGATGGAGTAGATGATGTAAAAATACCGAGTGTTTTCTTATATAGTCGAGAAAAGCATGTTCTCATGAAAGCAATATCTAACAATCCGGATTTAGAAGTAACACATAATCATATATGAATGAATTCATTCAAAATGTGGATATATTTTAACAAAAATCAATATTTTTGCGGTTTTCTTTAGGTAAGCATAATGCAGATGACGGGACTGAAAAAACGACTAGAAGCTACACTTAGCACAGATGAAACAAATACCGATGATAAATCGTAGGTTAATTGCCTGAGGAAATACAATTAATTTTAGGCGCGTTCTGTGGTACGTTGGACGTTCTGCATATAAAAATTAATAATAGAATATGTAAAAAGATTGAATATGCAATATAAATTTGCCTGAATTTTTTACTTCCTAGATTTAAGTTGAAATGTGAATGTTATTTAAGAGTTAAGATGAAATTCGAATAAAATTTCCGAAAAACAAATTTTTTTCCATTGACATTTGAGTTAAATTCTAATGTTGAACAATTTTGGTGGAACAGCAGCGCTTGAAATTGACAGATGAGTTTGACAGTTGGTTGGTATGCTTGACAGCTATTACAATGCAGCATTGTTTTTCCTTCACTTCCATGAAATAAAATTGTATTATGAACAAATTATGTTAAAAATCTAGAAAATAAAATCTAGCAATAATAGTCGTAAGAAATGTTTTTGCACAGAGTAAGTAGACAGTTGTTGACAGCCAATACTGTGTTTAGTGTAAAAACCCTGCGATGTTTGAACATTGCTTTCGGGAGATTTGAAACTGAAATTATCGATAAATGGAAACAGAAATTTGCAAGTGAAAATGTGTCGGAGATCGAAAATTCGATTAAATACATTCTTGAGCACGTAATTGAACAAAAAGAGGTAATTGAGCTTTTGCATTGTTTGTATTATTCGTATACTATACAAATACAATGATGACCTTCATCTCTTACAGACCTTGACTGAACGAAAGAATGACCAAAAAATCACACTAACAAAAGAACAACTAAATCGATTTGAACAGCTATGTGAGTGTCGTATGGCAAGGATGCCAGTCCAATATATTATAGGTAACGAGATTGTCGCTCTTCATCATCAATGAATGTGTAGAAAATTAATGCTTTCCTCTTCAATTGGATTTAACTAATAGGAGAATGGGACTTTTGTGATTTAGAGCTAAAAATGAGGTGAGCAACATCACACGAAGCCGTTGTTTTGCCACTGATTACTGCATTTTATCTCAACTGGCACACTACCATTTCTTTTATGTTTCTAATTTACACAAAACCACTTTGTTTTATGTATTTCAGGCCACCAGTTTTCATTTGCCGACCTGAATCTGAGGAACTTGTTGAATTGATATTGCAACAATGTGATGACAAACTAACTATGCGATTCCTAGAAGTATGTATTAGGCGGTACTTTTTATGTATAAAAAAGCAAACCACTTTTCGAAATTGTGGAGATTTTATTAATCATTCTCAAATTTATTTTTGTGCATTTCATGTCTTAAATTTTACATTCTCAGGTAGGCTGCGGTTCAGGAGCAATTTCATTGGCATTACTTCATTCCCTGCCTAAGGTAAACTCATTAATTAGAACAGAAGAACATGAAAATTTGGTTTACTATTGTTATCTCGTTTAATAGGCCCAATGCATAGCAATTGATCAGAGTGGATATGCTTGCAATTTGACACTTGAGAATGCTACTAACTTGGAACTGAATGGTCGCATTAAAATATTAAAACACAAGCTAACCAATGAAAGTGAAATTCCTGAGGTTGAGGGGAAATTAGATCTAATCGTCAGCAATCCTCCATATGTACCCACAAATGACCTAAAAGTACTTGCTCCCGAAATTTCACT